CGTGGAGGAAGCTAGCACCTTCCAGCAAAAATTTTCTGACCTGTTGGCCAAATTTTCCCGAAAACCGGCCACTGTGACAAACAGCAGTGGTATGGTAAAGTCTGACAGCCAGCCAGAGATAAATCCCATGCATGTGTTGGAGCTACCGGTCCCAGAACCAGCCAAGTCCGGTTTCAATTTGCCCGGTTTCCGCAAGAAGGTAAGCGCATTTTCGTAGGTATCGTCTAGTTATTGCATCCCAGCATGTAGATAAACCTGCGGCAAGGGCATATAATTTATAGTGAACTCTTACTACTCCTAAAAATAATCACAACCAATTATGAGTCCATGGGATGTCAGCGACCTCCTAAAATATATGTGCCGTATATTCTGTGAACTAACCTTAGTTGTATTTAATGACTTAATACAACATGATTGGGGTGAGCAGCTGGAGCAAACCGTTTTTCACCTAAACTTTAGTATCCGGGGCCTATAATTATTCAATATCTAAAGTGGTATGTATGTGTGTAGATTTCGCCTGGAAGGAGAGTAGACTAAACCCTTAACCCCAGAAAGTATTACTCGTTTGTCCAGAAGCCTTCAATCAAAACGAAATCTCATATTTACATTTTTGGATTTTTGGCTTATGGCTTTCTTACAACGTCCCCTAATTTTTGCTTACCCTACGGCATCGTGTCATTTCTACGTGCTTCATAGTTACATCCCATTTTTCTGCCTCTGTTGTGTCCTAGTTCTCATTTATTTTGTCGAAATACTATACTATTTACCACCCCCTTTCACCCACGCTTAAGATTGCCAGTCTGCTAACGCCTTATCCCCTCTCTATATAAAATGGAATTCCGTAAACTTACAACACGAAATCGGCTCCTGCATATGTGTAGGTTGTAAGCACAGATGCCTCCAGAAGGGTAATTTATTTATTTAAAGAAAGTCTCAGTTGAAATCTCAAGTCAGCAAATTTCACCCCCTTTCGCCTACCTTCTGATTGAATGCATAAAACGTCTCGCTTCGGGATTCACCTTAATGTTTGCCTTTTAAGGCCTGCACACCCTTCACGCATCGGTTAGTGCATCACCCTAAAACCTTTGGACTTCAAAAAGTGGCGCTGATATGACTAGGGGCCACTGTTGTAAGCAAACCATACTGACTTGGTGTAAAAACTCGATGCGATTCAGCACTCCCCTAGTTGTGTCCGTCCTCACATTCGCAACTGCGTGCTTTGAGTGCGTGTGTGTGTAAACGAGACTTTGACATGGTGTGTACTTGTTTGTACTGCTCTCACGCTGAAGTCGATTGCATTGCGCTGTTTGTGGATCCTTTAATCGTTGTCCCATGGAGCAGCAGCGAGCTCTTACGAAAGTACATTCTTTTAACCCTTTTGACTTAATTCGTTTTCCTATAAAAAGCTACCTAATTCTTTTTTAAAACACGGCCCTTTTTGGACCTGTATGTTCCGCACCAACCTGAAAATGTTTTCGGATAAGACGAAGAAGACCCCGCTGGTTTTGCTCGAAGACCGGTAGCCGTTTGGAGGCGACGCGATTCGTTAAGCACAACACGGAAAGCATGTTATCAGTGCTTCCCCAATTACTTTAGAATCTTAGGACATGTCCTGGTGACTGTACCCCATAGCAACTGCGCTGTTGTGCGTAATAGCTCGCAATCATTCAAAATCCACTGCAGCAAAGCCCAGTGAATTTTCGTTTTTCTTTTTAACCAAAATATGTATTCCACATGTCGAAGAATGTCTAGAGTGGCTAGCGCCGTCCGTTTATGTGGCTGCCACTTGCTACTTACTACCCAAGGTAAGATAGTTTAGTATTCGGCAACAACACAGCCGTGAGCCTAAGGCTAAACTTGTCTTATTCTGCTTTTTTATATTTTCAGCCTCATCTGTCCTCCCGTACCTAATTGATTTACTACTTTTCTTCTTTCCCCGTATCTCTTTGTGCCTCCCTACTGGGCCCGTTACTCGGCCGGCTGGTTAAAGTAGAAGTAAGTTTTTCCTTCGCCCGTAGGCAGTAGCTTCCGGCCTATGCGGGTCTCAGTCTCACCTAACGCCTCACTCGCTTCCTGCTCGCTCTCATCGCCTGGCCATTCTAAGATTCGTTTGCCTCTCATGAACGTACCCATTGTCTTTATGTGGGGTGTTTGTGGATGTTTGTTTGTGTGTGTGTCTGTCTGTCTGTCTGTCTATGCGTTTATCTACCCTTTTGTTTTTATCGATCTCTTGCAGCAGAAGAAAGCCATCACTATCAGCGCGCCGACCAACTTCCGGCATGTCCAGCACATGGGCTTCAATAAGGACTCCCAACAGTTCGACATGTCTGTGCTGGATGAAAAGATGCTGCAGGAGTTCCTAAAGGACAATAATCTGCACTGTCTCTTTAATACGGCGGAGGACACTGAATTTGCCGCCCAATTCATCGCCAAAAATATCGGCATCAAGAAAGTGAGTCAACTGATTGTAATCATTTGTGTCCATTTGTTTGATAAATTTACATTACTTGAGTTAACTCAAGAAATAGCATGCGTTTCACAAAATTTACTCACGCTGCCTGCCCGAAACAGGCTTAATAGGTGTCTTGTGAGTTCAACTCATCGTTTCACGCCGTTTACATAGCGAGATCAACATGTAGAAATCCTTAAGCTGGGGGCGAGAGAGGAAGTTAGGATAGGCTGTGAGCATTAGCCATGGGTAGCGTACGTAGAATAAAAATTACTTTTATTTCCATGGTGTGCACAACTGTCATCAGCGAGTGGGGATAATATGCGATCGCCACCTGGCGTCGGCACCGAAATGATAGTGCTTGTCGATAGAAGCGATCATGCTTGTGTTAGCTTCTTTAGACAACACAGCACTGGATTTGCTGGCCGTATAGTCACTGCCTCGGCTGTTGCTACCACGCGTTGGCTTAGGCCTTTGGAGAAGTTGGCCGGTATCCGGTAGATAATCTGAAAGGCTTCATCAGGATCAAGTCGGTGATTCTTATCGACAGGGTGTGTAAGAATAGAACTCGAGATTGATCTACTTTCACCTTCATTTATCCAGGCTGATATGTGCTCACGGCGCCTTATTGTTCGGCCAATGTATCCTGCTCCACAGGAGTAAGTGAAAGAGTAAATGTGCACACATACATTACAATACATAATTATTTTTACCACAAGACTAAAATTTGAGAAAATGGCAATCTTAAAAATGATCCAAATAAGTTAAACTATAAGGTTGCTTAACGAAGGAGAGCGCATAAAGAGGAAGAAATAATAGACTACTACAAAACACATCATTCGTATGTCAGTCAGGTTATATTTCAAACGACAGTGTGATTATTGAATACAAAATCCAACTTTCCTTGCATTGAGAGATTCTCCATTGTCTTGTACCCTTTCCTTTTCATAAGTGCACAAATATTTTGGCACCGAGTACATCTAGTTCGTCTGCAGAGCTAAAATATTTTAGAGGTCGCAAACGGACAGGCTGGCTGTTGTCTAAAAGGTTGCAGGCATTAGCAGATTCACATCTCTTTAGAGCAAAAAATGGAAAAAAAGTCGAGGTTACCAAGTAAACTTAAGTTGTCAATGTAGAGGAAGCCTGTTCATGAAAAATGTCGAGTGAATAAAGCAGCACCGGTAGAATTACGTTTGAAAGCAATCCTTTTGTAAAATTTTCGGATACACATGCCTACATATTATGCGCAATATAACGTGCAGCCATTACCACACAGTCCGAAGTTCAGTGTGGTATTCCATCATGCTTTCACCAGAATTGTCAGTAATGTTTTACGTTGTTACATTGTTTGACCTATGCTGGACTAAGCCAACCAGAGTTTCGCCTGATAATGACGTCATACTCGCGTGTGGACATGCCAGTCAGTGATTAGTAAATGTAAATGAAATTGTCAGGTGGAATCGTAAATGCACTACCTTGTGTAAATTGAGAGAAATTTCCTTCCGTCACATTTATTTGTAATTTCTTCTGGTGTTCGATTACGACGAGTTTCGGATCGTTCTTGAAATAGTGGTAAAAGTTACGATTTTTCAGTGTTTCCCGTCGATTGTCCATAAATACACATTCTGTTTTACATGTTTACCAAAACCGTAAAAGTAAGATTTTTCTTAAAATCTTTGACCTAAATAGGGAGTTTCTGGACAAGTTTTCTTATGCAGCTGTTTGGGTCATGGCTTCAATATCCCCCGAATATGTCAAAACCTTTTTGAGGAACATTAAATTCGGAAACAGAAGTCACGAATAAATCTGCCCACTATTAATTAACGTACTTTTTTTAGAACAAGTCGCCTCCTGAAAAAAACGCTTAATTTAGATATTTCGACGTCGAGTACCTTCGAACTTTACCATTTTAGAAGGCTAAGTCAAGATAAAATTGGACAGTTCGACCGGTCTTTGACTTCCCTGAAACTGAAGAGTGAACCTTCAGACAGAGAGCAAAGAATTCACTTTGCCACAAATGTTAGAGCAGCTTTTGGTAAATTTCTTTACTTTCAGACCCGTTTTAAGATTTAAAATGCACATCAGATGGACAATCTACAGTATGGCGAGTGCTGCAAGCAAAATGCAACCATTTGCGAAGGACGGGTAATCACTCACAAAACAACATTGAGTAGGGCTGTAATACTGATTATCGTGCAGTCTAATCTCAATTTTTTTCAGTCACGGCAGGATGCCGATCCTTTAATGAGTTTCTTTTTGACCGCTTACAAAAATGAATTCTGTAAAAAATGGCTACTTAAATAGTATGCATTTTTATCATGGATTTCGATTTGTGTTTAAATTCGAATATGTTTTATCGAAAACATGCACGCAAATATATTTCTTGTATTCAGTGGGTAGAAAATTATGCCTTCTTTCCTTTTAGTCTGAAGGTTCACTTCTCATTTGCAGGGAAGTCAAAAATCGATCGAACTTTCCCATTTTTATTTTGAGTTACCCTCCCAAAAAGTAAAGTCCAAAAATAATCGACGTAGAAATATCTAAGTCAGGCGCTTTTTCCAGGGATGACTTGTTACATAAAGTACGATAATTAATAGTAGGCGCATTTATTTGTGACTTCTACTGCCTAATTTCATTTCGGCTGCTGCTATCTGCTACTGCTGTCTGATTATGTCTCTGATGACGAATCCGCAACGGATCTCGAAAAGTCAGACGAATAAAAATATTGTCTCAGCGATCGAATTGTCTTCTTCTCAAAATAGACTTCATTAAACTGAATTTGCTCTTCTTCGCCGGTGAACAATACGATTTTGTCATACTCGCATTTACGTGATTTTCATGAGAGCAAATCGAAATCTTCCGTTTTCTGCATTTTTTAAGTTAGAACGTATATGGCTTATATTTTATTTGTTAGTGCTACATCCATAAACGAGAAGTTTTGATCTACAGCGTTTAATAGCGTAGGAAATTTCTTGGACATCAAGAAACATTGGATTTTGCCCGTGTTGGCCCACCTTTTCCTTAAACACCATCTGAAGGTAATTCTTCCTTAGTAAATAACATTGTGGAGTTTAAGTCCATTCAATAAACGGAATAAATAACCTCAACTGTGTACTAAACCAGCGCTTCAAATTTCTGTCTCCATGTTTAATGGGGTAGTCAATTCGCTATATTTTTCTGCATCGTCCAACGACCTTATTACGGTAGTTAACGGCATTAAAGGCAACAGCTTTGAAAAAGAGAGTTTTAGAAGATGATTCCGTTTCTTCTTTCGAAAAATATCGCAATTCCTTGTCTCTCTCTTCTTGAATTGGATGGACTCACAATCCGATTTCCCACTTCCCACAGAGGTCGCCGAGTTTTTCACAATTGGTTCTAATTATCTATTCAAATCTGCCTACCATCCTACCTCCCCCCTTCTTCTAATTTTCATACAATACTAGCGGCCATTCGGCCGCTGGCGGTGTTCGAGTGTGAACACAACACGATGATCAGAGAAAGCTCCCTACCATTGTTACTTCCGGTTGTCAGACACACAATGCCAACTTGGTTCACCGGTTGGCGTGCCTTTCTGCAACGCACCCTCCCAACTATACTACGAACTATCCTCGTAAGACCAGTCTTTCTGAGATTAACTATGACCATCATCTGGAACGTGATTGAGCTTAAAAGGGATTCAGGTTACTTTGCCTCTGTAGCTTTCCCTTCCCTAACTTGCAGAGCTGAGCATCTTCCTCAGCACTATTCTGATTTATCCAATATGCGCAGAACCTGCGAAGAGTGGTTTGGCATGTTCATATTCACTTTCCTTTCTGCATCATGCCGCCCATATTTATTAGTGAGCTGCATTACGTGGAGATTATCAAGGACAGCCCACATCCCCCAAAACCTAACACCAGACATCCATATTAGTACACCCCTTGAGGAAGACTATCAGATGCATATGTTCAATTAGGGGAATACGGCAAATACAGAGTGACCTTTGGAAATAGTATTTTCTTTGCGCAATTATCGACCGTTTTATTTCGTTGCGATACGCTACCACCGATGCTAAGGTGCCTCGTCTGCTGCTCGCTCAAATTTGCAACTCTGCTGACACCCTCGAGCTCGTACAGTACTTAAAAGATGAATTCCTTGGTTTGAAATTAAGCATAAGTTGCATATTGTACACCAGTCAAGTGCAGTTTCGCTTTTTAGAATCTAAGTGGTGTTTTTACTTTGAACACTACAATCGTCAAACCAAAAGCCCAAGTTACAGGTAAAAGGCGGAAGGCACCTGAGGACGGAATT